GAACTGCTAAGAGTATGATGAACTGCTGTCATAAAACACCACTCACATGGATGCTTTGATCATATATCTTTTCTGGGCTTCTCAATACCCTTGAATCCCAACCTTTCTCGACGCGTCTTCCCGTTTCTCTCCTCATTCTACACGTGTCATTGACGACATTGAGGAGAGTCGTGTTGTTTGATGTTTTAGATCCGTAAACTCGTTCGACTAAAAAAAAACGCAAATGTGTGAACATCAATCTCTAATTCATTAGCGGTGGTTCTAGAATAAAACTCACAAACGCTTTTCCGTGTATAGGATGAAATAGTTTAAAGGGACATTTAACGACACGCTTTTCGTTGCGGGACCCAACTGGGTATACGGTAGTGCCACCAAGACTCCATTAGGCACTATTGTTGAAGCTCTTCGAGTCTCGGGGGGTGTGAGCCTAGTCGCACCCCCAAAATATCAGTCAACCTGGAAAAGTTATTAATGTTTCAGCAGTAGAATGAGACTAATATATTAGTCATTCAGTCCACCACCATTGTTCCGAGCTGGAACAACGCAACACAGGCTTACGCACGTTCCGTTGAAAAACTCTGTCAGCTCAACGTCGGTAATGGCTAGTCAACTTGAACTTCCGATTCCCTTGTTTACATCCAAGTCATATAGGTGTGCGGCGGCTAATTTTGAAGTTTATAAAACGGGAAAAACGGTCGAATTTGCAGACGAGGATTCGCGAAAGACATAATCAGAGGAATTGTCTTCCGGAAAAACCCACACGAAGTCATAATGCACTCGGAGATTTTAGAAAGTCTAAAATCCACCTCTAGATGGATGTCAGCGCAAGCTTCGTCTTACATTAGAAACATTACGGAATGCGTCGTCTCCAATGCCACTACCGACTTGGGAATTACCACACGGGATTGGTCTCGTTCTTTGTACCTCAATTCTCCATGGTCTAAGCAGCAGATACAGTTTGTGACCCATGAAAACTTGAAGGACATTGTTCACACTGTTGACAAGGTTATTTCATCTGAGATGAAAACGGCTCTAATTGATTGATTTCAGTACAAAAATATTGATTTGAGAGATTTCAACCATCATGAAAAGCAACAGATCATCAACACGCTGAACATGGAACGGTGGAAAACCGCTGTCAGTGCTCATACTACCCGAGATGATTTGGAAGACCTTCATCCTCCTGTGCCGCAGCTGAATTTGCTCGGGCATTTAATTCCGAGGGTACAATAATTTTGGGGCACAACAGGGTACAACCTATTTTGGGGTACAACTTTTTTAATTTTGGGGTACAACTTGCCCGATTTTAGGGAATAATTTCTGTCAAGTATTTTAGGGTACAATAATTTTAGGGTACAACACTTTTAGGGCACAACTAGCACATAATTTCAGGGCACAACTTCTTACAATTTTGGGGCACAACAACATGATTTTAGGGTACAACACTTTTTTTCTCATTTTTTGTATTTTCTTGCATTTTACTACAAACCCATATTCTTTTTATATCAATATTTCGCTGATTTTTTTATTTCAATGACTCATCTCTTGTATGAGAACCAGTCTTTCGACTCGTGCTTTCTGCGGCAGTTCACACATTTAGTTTTTCACCAAATCATGAGGTTATTCAAAACCTTTTTATTGCAAAAAAAGCATATGACAGTAACAAGTTGAGCACAAATGAACGGATCTGAAATAAAGAGTAGTTAATCTAGGTTTTAAATAGCTCTATTAATAAGGCGGGTTTATGAGAATCAACTTGTTACTGTCATATGCTTTTTTGCAATAAAAGGTTTTGAATAACCTCACGATTTGGTGAAAACAAAATGTGTGAACTGCCGCAGAAAGCACGAGTCGAAAGACTGGTTCTCTTACAAGAGATGAGTCATTGAAATAAAAAAATCAGCGAAATATTGATATACTGTTGAAAAAAAAAAGTTTCGACATTGGAATCGAAGCTGGCAGCGTGCCAAGGCCCGGCCTCCCAAACGCATATGCTGCGCGCCATTGTTGCAACATTGCCGCACGCTTTATTGTTCTTCGTTTTTGTCTTTATTTTTCGGCTAAAAATCAGCAGAAATTTGGTTTTTTCCCATTTTTTACCCCTATTTATTCATTTCAATCGGCTTTTGCTATAAAAAATCAACTTTGAAAACAGATTTATCGATTTTTAGCTTGAATTTTCGAACATTTCTTGATTTTGTGTTTTTCTCCTTTCGATTTCGGTGAATTTGAGAATTTTCAGGATTTCCACCTACGGAAAAGTCGAACAAGCAACAAAAGGGCATGGATTTCTTATTTTTGTGTTAGTTTTTGACGTAACAATAATTTTCTCTCCGATCAACGTTTATAGACTTCACTCCTCCGCCGTCTTCTCCACTCCGCCGTCAGCACACAACGGTATACAAAAACTTGTCGTATTAGTTTGAAGAGGAACGAAGATATTTTTCTCTCCGACCGTTTTTTTCCAAAGTCCGTGGACGCTTCAATCCAGAAAAAAAGGAGAAGAAAATTGAATATCACTGATAATAACATTCTTACACTTGTCATGTCATTTAATTTATTGGAGAACGTTATAAATACATCTAAAAATAATTGTTATTAGTGCCAATCATCCAACGGGAGATGCTTCTTCAACTTTCCGTTGTGTGCTGACGGCGGAGTGGAGAAGACGGCGGAGGAGTGAAGTCTATAAACGTTGATCGGAGAAAAATTATTGTTACGTCAAAAAAACTAACACAAAAAAATAAGAAATCCATGCCCTTTTTGTTGCTTGTTCGACTTTTTCCGTAGGTGGAAATCCTGAAAATTCTCAAATTCACCGAAATCGAAAGGAGAAAAAAACACAAAAATCAAGAAATGTTCGAAAAATTCAAGCTAAAAAAATCGATAAATCTGTTTTTCAAAGTTGATTTTTTTATAGCAAAAAGCCGATTGAAATGAATAAATAGGGGTAAAAAATGGGAAAAAACCAAATTTCTGCTGATTTTTAGCCGAAAAAAATAAAGACAAAAAAACGAAGAACAATAAAGCGTGCGGCAATGTTGCAACAATGGCGCGCAGCATATGCGTTTGGGAGGCCGGGCCTTGGCACGCTGCCAGCTTCGATTCCAATGTCGAAACTTTTTTTTTTCAACAGTAAAAAGAATATGGGTTTGTAGTAAAATGCAAGAAAATACAAAAAAATAAGAAAAAAAAGTGTTGTACCCTAAAATTATTGTACCCTAAAATACTTGACAGAAATTATTGGCATTTAATTCGGAGGGTACAAAAATTAGGGGGTACAACAGGGTACAAATGGTTTTGGGGTACAACTTACATGGTTTTGGGGTACAAAAAGTCGAGGGTACAAAATTTTCGATTCTGGGGTACAAAAATTTACCGATTCAGTAGGCAATGATTTAGAGGTACAACTTTTATGATTTAAGGGTACAAATTTCACGATTTTGGGGTACAAAAGTTGCACGAAGCACATTTTCGAAGTTTTCATTCCAGTTTTGAATTTTTGAGAGCTCACGAGACACAGTCGTGTGTATCCATGCTTTGTTTTATGCAGTATTTTGTGTCATTTCGAGAAAAAAACTTTACTTGGGTAAATTTCACACACAACATCAGATGATGAAATTCTGCTGTGAAATTGCAGAATTTAAAGGGGCCAAAACAGCAAAACAACTTGTAAGTAATATTATAGGGGCACCGAATAGAAAGGACGTTCTGTTCGCAATCTGGCCGAATTTCTAGTCCGCGAAGTAATTTTCCACTGAAAACGTGGCCTAACTTTTCAAACTCGGCCCCGAGCTCACTCAATTTGCACTGCAAAAAAGTTTATTAATAGAGCGCCCTTTCTGTTCGGTGCCCCTATAATAACAAAGGGGTCGCCGTTTGAACCACTGTCTATCGGAAGCAAAACGCTTCGAAGGGTCATGAAATCTCATTTAAAAAACATCTCTGGAACTTATCAAGCGATTCGGAGTACAAAACATTCACGGAGTAAAAAAATTTTGTGAAACAACTAAAAACATTCACTGAATTGATGCCCATGAAAAAATGGGGAAAAAATTGTTGTACCCCAAAATCGTGAAATTTGTACCCTTAAATCATAAAAGTTGTACCCCTTAATCAATGCCTACTGAATCGGTAAATCTTTGTACCCTAGAATCGAAAATTTTGTACCCTCGACTTTTTGTACCCCAAAACAATTTGTACCCTGTTGTACCCCCTAATTTTTGTACCCTCCGAATTAAATGCCAAATTATTCCCTAAAATCGGGGAAGTTGTACCCCAAAATTAAAAAAGTTGTACCCCAAAATAGGTTGTACCCTGTTGTGCCCCAAAATTGTTGTACCCTCGGAATTAAATGCCATTTGCTCGAAACGTTGAAGACATACGAGAAGTGCCTGAAGGGTACCGAGACGGTGTTTGGTGGGCTTCACATGTATGGAGTACAAAACATTCACGGATTAAAAAAATTTTGTGAAACAACTAAAAACATTCACTGAATTGATGCCCATGAAAAAATGGGAAAAAAATTGTTGTACCCCGAAATCGTGAAATTTGTACCCGTAAATCATAAAAGTTGTACCCCTTAATCAATGCCTACTGAATCGGTAAATTTTTGTACCCTAGAATCGAAAATTTTGTACCCCAAAACAATTTGTACCCTGTTGTACCCCCCAATTTTTGTACCCTCCGAATTAAATGCCCATCATTATTATCATTCGTATTTAATAAAACGCTAACGGGGTCTGTCTGTTTCTTTCTTTCTTTCCTGCTCCGTTTGCCCGGCCTTTTGTCATTTCTAAAACGAAAATAGTTGCAACGGAGAAACTAAGAAATGAACCCGTGAACTTTCGAACGCTTGTGAGAAGCAAAAAAGTGGCGAAGCCGCTTCCGAACCGCGCAGCGGGCCTGGTTCGAAGTCTTGTCTATTATACGATATAATTTATTCGTAGCAGAGTTTTTGGGGAAGAGGCAGACTGAAGTCGTGTAGTCCGGACTCTGGTAAGTTAGTTTGATAGCTTTATTGTGAATGTTTCATACATTCATGAAATTCTTATTTGATTTTTCCATTCCTAATCAATGACGTAGGCGCGTCGAGGAATATGTGTCAGTTCTCTTGAAGCCTGATAAGAAAAAAATCTGCTGTATTGCATTTTCTCAAACGCTCACAATCTGACTGTTTTATCGGCAGTTTCTGAAGGTTGCCCCAGTTCCCGCTTTTCCTTACACTTTATCATTTCAAGAAACCTTCTATACGTATAATAATGTCTATTCTGCTTTACACAAGTAGGAAATGGCATTCTCCCGGAGCATATCACATGAAGAGAGACGTTAGTGTAAAATAGCAATCAACCATCGCTAATTTATAGGCTCTCGGGGAGCAAGAAAAACTTCAACGGAATTTGAGCCAATATTATATAATCACCGTCTTGATCTTAGCTAATTATTCAGAGCGAAAAAGTGTAAATAAAGTCGCTCTATTCCTGTATCACAATCGAAGAATGAGGGCGTCAACCAATTTCATAAAATTTGTCTCGCTTACTGATTAATTTGCCAACTTTTAAAAAATATGTACCATTCACGAGTCATTGTTTGATGATTGATTTCGATGAAAACTTTATTTCCGGAATGTCCACATGCCAATCATAATCATCCTTTCAGAAATGGGCCGGATTACTTTAGTCTTGGTTGCAATTGCTGTGCTGATCATTCCGGGCATTGATTCTGCCAAATGCCGAGGAAGATACTACGAAATGAGAGGGGTAGGAAAGTGGCTGTCAATTTTGATCGAAATGACAATGATTTTGTAATACAAACTAGTTTCAATAAAATTATGTTTACTCTACATTCTGGCAATCTCGCTCTACCGCAATCTCGCGTACGTGGACACGTGAAAACTGAATTCACGTGAAGAGCGGTAGGTCGTGATTGCAAGACTTCTGCGGCTTCAATAGATTACTACAGTGTGCTATTCTCGTCAAGCTTTTCTTCAGCTTTAAAATGTATTTAGGGCGACGGGTTTGTTGCTCAACGTGGATGTCGCGGACTTGACTCCCAAATATCAGAAGATTACTGGACTACCATCGGATACGACGGATTGCTTAGAGATGGACGTACTACTGACGATTTTCTTCAGTTCCCAGAAGAAGAAAACGACGGCCACACACTAAGAAACTCTTTCGTGGGATATTGGTAAGAGCAAAGCAGGCTCAGAAGGTTGCTCAGAACAGCATTATTTATAAATCTTCGTTTCAACGAAACGGGATGAACGAAATTTATCAACCTTCTGTTTCCGCATCGATCACTGAGTACTGTAGCTATAATTCTCTTTTGTTTTAGGGAAGGTCCCGAGCAAACGGATGAGTTAGTTTTATAGCGTGATTTGAAATGCATGTAATCTTAACCTACTTACGATCTGAAGTGCTTAGCGTGAACACGTTTAAAATCATTCTCTAACGGCTTTTTTGCAGGATCACTCGTTCGAAATATGGCGATAGCCGCCATTACGAAGCGTTTGGCCACGGATTCATCAAGCCGGACGGTCGTGTGTGCGGATGGTTCGTCGGAATGGACAAGGAAATCGTTGAAGTCTGTGGAGGATTCCGTGTGCTCAGTCGTTCCCGTAGAAATCCACAAGAGCCTATTCCATTTATGTGGGTCCAAGGACCTCAGAACAGAAGTCGAGATGTCCTTGGGTTCCATCATCACAAGATTGCAAAGTACCAACTCAACACAGATGAAGTTTTCTTCGGCGATGCAGATGTTAAAGGAAAGAAATTCAACGGGGTTTCTCCGTTTTCTGAAACTTTCGTTCAGGTAGGAAAATTGACTCGCGACTTCTTCATCATTGCCATTTTGCAGGTCGACTCACAAGATGCCTTCAACCGCAAAATTTGGCTTCTTAAGAAAAAAACAGCTTCGCCAATGGATGTACGTGCTTCCTACAAACATCCCAGACAGCTTTGATATATTCATTTTTATATTGTACGTCTAACGCGTTCCCTCTGTATGCTATTACTCTTCAGCTTAAGTGTACATCTACGCTAAAACCCACTCTCTTTCCTCGAAGCTACTGCAGCAATTGCCATTATACTGTAATTTTTTCAATTTCGACATTGTATTCGGAGCTTTGGCATTCTGAAACAATCGTCTCTATGATCTTTTTGTATTTCCCAAATAAAACATTTGCTTTGCTTTACAAATCCCTCCAAAAGGCATGCATGGAGCATACGAAATTGGAATGACGCTACATGCATATTATGCATTGCATAACCACCCATTGCTTCTCTTCTGACTATCGCGCTCTACCGCTCTCCACGTGAATTCAGTGCTAAATTGGAAACGCTTCGAGATTTCACGTGGGATCGCGGTAGAGCGACATTACCATATTATAGGGGCACAGAATAGAAAGGGCGCTCTGTTCGCAATCTGGCCGAATTTCTAGTCCGCGAAGTAATTTTCCACTGAAAACGTGGCCTAACTTTTCAAACTCGGCCCCGAGCTCACTCAATTTGCAGTGCAAAAAAGTTTCTCAATAGAGCGCCCTTTCTGTTCGGTGCCCCTATAATAATTTTGAGGTGATAATATGAAACTTGCATTGTGGGGCTATTCAGGAGATGAAAAAATGATTGCAGCGTTTTTTTCTGGCGGGTCTCGCAGCGATTTCCCGGACGCGAAGCATGCGGCTACTGTGAGAGACGTTTTATGAGTGGATTTACGAGAAGGGGGAATTTTTTTCTAATTTTTCAGCGAAATTGCCACGTTTTCCCGCTATTTTCAACCGATTTTCAACGGAATTTCAGTTCTTATTTATCTGTTATGGTAACTGATGTGATATTGCCACGTTCACCGCTATTTCCGATCGACTTCGCTTGAAGTTTCAAGTGCCTCGTCATATCGTTCAAAAAATTGAGCTTTTCGGTGAAAATCGGTTCAAAACAGCGGGAAAACGTGGCAATTTCGCTGAAAAATTAGAAAATTTTTCGTAAATCCACCCGTTCTTGTAAATCCACTCATAAAACGTCTCTCACAGTAGCCGCATGCTTCGCGTCCGAGAAATCGCTGCGAGACCCGCCGGAAAAAAACGCAATGGGGCTATTCAGCGTATGTTTGTTTTCCGTTTTTTTTTTCCGTTTTTTTACATCGCTGAACTGGATTTTTTGAGGTAAAAAAACGAAAAAAACGGAAAACAATAATTTTTTCACAGCCTGAATAACCCCACAAGCGATGCATTTCTTTCCGTTTTTTTCCATTTTTTGACATCGCTGAATAGGGAAAAAACGGAAAACATTCATTTTTTCATCCCCTGAATAGCCCCATAATAAATAGGGGCACTTCTCTAGAAACCAGCTTTTTTGCGAAGCTAAGGCCGAGTTTTTCCGCCACGAAAGTCTTTAGTAGTTTTTTACTTGAAAAATGGTCTAGATTTTTCATTTTTATTTTAGTGGCAAAAATCTGGGCCTAACAGAGCGTGTTTGCAGAGAAATTCCCCCGTAATAAATTGATTTATAACCTAAACTTCATGACAGATACCAATTCAGCTTAATTTTAGAATCTGAAACCACTAAACCAATCTCCAATCTATAGGCATCACAAGGTGGACACATCCGCATTGAGAAGTAAGTAATGCGAGTTAATTTCAGGATCTTGACGTTTATAACGACCCGCATCATGAAACAAGATTTCAAAGTTTTCGACTGCCTCCAAATTATGAAGTGAGACAGTTTCAGTCTTAGTCGTTTTAAGCACTATCGATATTTCAGAAGTTCGGTAGTCCGTACCAACTATTTTTAAAGAAGACTCAACAAGAACCGCCTGTCGAGGATCGTAGATCTCAGATTTCTGCACATGTCCGGGCATCACCGCAATTCACATATAGACAAGATCATCCACGATACGAGGAATGGCTACGTAACGAGTACCGAATTCGTGGACTCGTTCCCCGTAAACGAGAGGGAGAAAATATCAAAACACAGGTTTAAATTAGAAAATGATGATTTTCTATTCAATCTACTCTTTCTAAAGTTTAATGACTTATGGGGCTATTCAGCGTATGTTTGTTTTCCGTTTTTTTTTCGTTTTTTTACATCGCTGAATTGGAATTTTTGATGTAAAAAAAAAAAACGGAAAACAATCATTTTTTTCACAGCCTGAATAACCCATTACCTTCCGCCCTTTCGGCACACTCTCTAAAATCACCCAGATTTCATAGATGTTTTTCAAAAGTTCGAAAATTTAGGACAAGACATGACGTTTTTCAAGCGGAATTTTTAGATTTCAAAATTGCAGGGTTCCACCGATAGTTTCGAGAATAAGAATTCATCAAACGACACTGAAGAAAACGTTTTGTATCCGAAGAACGACTCTCTAAAACAAATTGAATTCAATGGTAACGATATCAACGTTAGTCAGGAGCATAGCAGCAATGGGTAGGCTATAAAATATTCGCTCAACAACGCTTAGATTTCAGAGCCAAACACGTCCGATTGATGCGTTATCGCCCACAAACAGTCATCATAGACACGTTAGGAAACACTTATACGAAAACATTGGATAACGGAAAAACTATCATCTACAAAAATCCTACGAATCCTGAAGAAACAGGGCGGATAAAGTAAGTGGATATTTATTATCAATTTATCGCTCTTGTTCATCGAAAAATTTTAGACGTTTGACGGACGCAATTTTTTAATGAAAATTTTTTAAAACGACATGTTATTGGCTCAGTAATTAACATGACGTCGCGTCTTCGAAAAAATTAAATGTTTCCAGAGCGGCGAGAAAAAAAGCATTTTGAAAACCTTGGCCAAGAAAACTCCATTGGATCCTAGGCCAAGTTTGCTAGAATGCGACATTCAATGCGTTTTCCGCTCCAATTCTCTGGGAACTCGATCGCAATCTAATTGGAAAACTTTGAAATCTAATACGAACTCGTTTGAAATAGAATTTGCTTCAATTAGATTGCAAAATCTTCTAATTAGATTGCAATCACTGAAATTTTTCTAATTAGATTGCAATGTTTTCTAATTAGATTGCAATTGTTTCTTATTAGATTGCAATTCAGGAAAAATATATTGTAATCTAATACGATTTTACTGGAACTTCAATTAAATCTGATTAGATTGCGAAATAGAGCTTTTTCTTATTAGATTGCAAACTCTTCTAATTAGATTGCAATCGAGTTTCCAGAGTGCAAGAGAAATCGCAAGAACTTCAAGCTTATTTCGCAGTTCTTCAAGAATTGCAAATCTTAAATATCTCACAAAGACATTTCGCAGTATATCTGTATATGAAGACAATTGCCAATTCTTACAGGTCAATTTGCAAAAATGGATTTGCCTAAGAGACTGGAAATTTCACATTTTTTTGAGCACACTATTCATGTGATTACTGAGCCAACAACGGGTCGCCTAAAACAATTGTTTTCGAAATTGAGTCCGTCTTCAAAGGAGGCATATGCATCCGGGGAAAAATTGTTTCTGCATGCCGTACGGTATTCCACCGGAATCGAAATTAGTAATTCGCAGGAGGAATAAGTTGATGATAGTTGGATACCACACGGTCTCCAGAGCTGACAATATGGGCGTGGCCTCGGCCTAATGGCGTTTTCATGAATTTCAGCAGGTTTTCTCTGATTTTTGTGGTCAAAGGCGATGAAAAATGATTGTTCGCCATGAAACACACTGATTCTCTTAATTAATGACGTTTTAGCGCAATTTTCGCGGACTTTGCTTTTTCGCCTTCGCCGCCGATAACCGCCGATCGCCGCCTAAAAACCGCACTTCTCATTTTACGCTTTCTTGACCGTTTTCAGGCAGAATTGGTTTTTAGAATCATAAATCACGTAAATACAAGCATTTTGAGCGCTCGAACCGCGAAAATTACAGAAACGCAACTGAAACTCACGCAGTTTTAGCCAAAAACCTTCAAACGGATGAATGCGATTTGCGACTTGACCAAATTTAACGCTCTTGCGCTTAAAAAATTCTTTTAAAAAACGCTCTTGCGCTTAAAAAAAAGCCTATACAATCGGTCTATCGAGAGACAAATGAGAAATTATCGGTTTTTCGTGGCTAATCTGACAAAAAACAACAATTTTGCTGTTAAAGGACCAGGGAACCCTCCTAGTTTCTGTGTCTGACTGAATTGCTTCTTATTGCCACATTCACTGTCCCCAACTTTCAGAAATACCTGTGAATGGAACAGCGCTTAGTCAAAGTTGTGGCCGTGGCCCAGAAAAGTTCAAGTTATCTTTTCCGGATTTTTTTTGTGTTCGGCACAATCTTCATACGTTGCAAAACATTCACACAAATCAGCATCCATACATAGTGCAAGAGCAACAAACTGATCACAGGGAAGAGTTTTCACACCGGAGTTTCCAAGGCCACGGCCACAACTTCAACTGCACGCCGTTTCGTTCATTGACATTTCTGAGAGTCCGCATTTTACCAGTGTATGAGGCAATAAGAGACAATTCAAATAGACACAAAAATTTCACAAAAAAATAAAAAAATTTGAGGGTTCCCTGGCCCTTTAAAATTTGAATTTCGCGCCAATGTATCGCTCTTCTGGGCGGGGCGCACTTGCGCCCAATGTCAACTCTGGAGACCGTGATACCATCTTTTTGTGAAATTTTTTCTTAATTCGATAACTTTAAGGTTTTCCGATATAGACCCCAAAATTGAGCAAATACTGGAAAGCAGACGCCGCGAAGAAGAAATTAGACACCACGAAGATCAACCAGTTGAGAAGCTGATAGCGGAATAATTAAAATATATAATATTGTATTTGAAGGGCATGCCCTTCTATCTTTCAGAACGCCGAAAATGAAAATTTCTTAATTTTAAAATCGTGTGAAAAGTCCGTAAATCGACTTAAAACTGCTCTAGCTCGCTTTACTAGCTAGCACGGACCGGCATTTCATAATGCGGCTGTCGGTTTTTTTCAATTCATCTCCAGAAATCGAACATACATATTATAGGGGCACCGCACAGAAATGGCGCTCTGTTGAGAAACTCTTTTTGCAGTGCAAATTGAGCGACCTCGAGGCCGATTTTGAAAAGTTAGGTCACGTTTTCAGTGGAAAATTACTTCGCGGCCTAGAAATTCGGCCAGATTGCGAACAGCGCGCCCTTTCTGTCCGATGCCCCTAATATAGGGGCCTCTGCTTTTTTGATAAACGTATAATTTTACTGTGTTCTTTCAAATGAGCCAGATAAATATTAGAGGTAACACCTCTGGGAACTCGATCGCAATCCAATTAGAAAACTTTGCAATCTAATTAGAAAAATTGCAGTGATTGTAATCTAATTAGACGATTTTGCAATCTAATTGAAGCAAATTATATTTCAAACGAGTTCGTATTAGATTGCAAAGTGTTCTAATTAGATTGCGATCGAGTTCCCAGAGTTATTATAGGGGCACCGGACAGAAAGGGCGCGCTGTTCGCAATCTGACCGAATTTCTAGGCCGCGATGTAATTTTCCACTGAAAACGTGGCCTAACTTTTCAAACTCGGCCCCGAGGTCGCTCAATTTGCACTGCAAAAAGAGTTTCTCAACAGAGCGCCATTTCTGTGCGGTGCCCCTATAATAATTAGATTGCACGGCGACCAAAAGTGTAGAAAGGGGCGCGGCCTAATCTGAGACGCGTTTTCTGAAAATTGCCGCAATTCCAGCACTTTTCCGATATTTTTGTGTTCGATATCGACGAAAGAAGACATTAAAGAGAGAAAACATCGAAATTTTCGTGAAAACGCCGCGTTTGAGACGTCTTTAGCATATTTCGCAATACGCTCTCCGCGACCAATCGCCGCCGCAATTTCGAAATTTTCATACCGGCCGATCTGGATAATTTTGAGACGAAGTGAGTGTCGGAAGTGATTAAGCACGTTAATACAAGTATTTTAAGCGTTCAAACGGCAAAAAGTATCGGCGAATGACTGAAATTCGCGCATTTTGAGCACAAAACTTAAAGTCGATTCGGGCAGTTCTGATTCGGGCGCGTTCTGATGCGGGCGCAGTTCTGATTCGTGGCAGTTCTGATTCGGGCAGTTCTGATTCGGGGCAGCACCCCTCAAACATGCGCGGGCGCGACCGGGGAGAAAATTCGGCAGGCTACGCCCCCTTTGTTGCGCCGTAGAGTAAAATTTTTATTCCCAACATCTCTGGCCAGAGTTTGTCCTTCCATTGGAGGTGCCCTTCTATGCCAGTACTTACGGTAACTATATAATTTAAAAAATAACAACTACTGTGCATACCAGAGACCCGCAACTATAGTGAAAACAACGATTTAAAAATCATAAATTTTATTTAAAAGCACCGGTGACATTGATTAAAGATTGAAAAGTAATAGAAAACTACGAACAGGGCGGTATTCGGCCGAATTCGGTAAATGCCGCATAAAAATCTTCCAGGGTTGAATAACGGGTCCTAAAAGTTGTACCATTTCTTCTTCTCATATTTTTCGACGAGTTTTCCAGTTCTTGACGAGAGGCTCATCGCGTTGCTTTTCAAAGCTTCGGTGGCATCAACTGTAGCATTCAGCTTTTCCGATCTCTCGTTCAAATTCTGAAATAATTAAGACGTGACGACTGCGCTTCTAGAAGAGCTTACCTGAAGTGCCATAGAAGCAGCTTGTCCAGCAGAGACACCCCCAGCTTGCGCTCGATCCATTGCCACTGATGGCCCGGGAATGATCCTAGCGACGCTTCGCATCGAATTTACGCCCGAATTGTTTTTGACGCCGATGTTTTCAGACACTGTAGGTATTTCCCTTACATTCTTAAACATAATAAGGCGAGAACCAACTTACAAATCAAATCAACTTCATTTGGATCTTGACGGGAACCTCCGAATATAGAAGAAACACCCTGCCAGACCTTTATCATTCATACTTTTCGAGCATATCATGTACTAACCTTCAGGAAAGAATTGTTTTTTGGAGCTTCTGGCATTTCACAAGGAACGAAAAGTTCCCCAATAGCTTCGTTCGTTTGATCTGCTATTTCAGAGCAGACCGTGTATTTTTCCAGCTGGAAGTTTCATTTTATTATCATTGTTTCTATTTCAGTTTTCTCAGCTTACCTCCGTTGGGCTAGCCATGTAAACACCCAATCCATGATCGGAAAATGCTGTTTTCTGGCACAGACTGCAAAGAAATTGATAAACTACTCTGGCAATTCGATATTAATCTAATTAGAACGTTACTGATCTAAACGCGACCTAATTACTGTTGAAAAAAAAGGTTCGACATTCGAATCGGAGTTGGCAGCAAGCCAAGGACACGCCCCCCAAACAGTTTTCACTGCAACTGTCGCACGCTGTTTGGGGGGCGTGTCCTTGGCTCGCTGCCAACTCCGATTCGAATGTCGAACCTTTTCTTTTTCAACAGTAGATTCGACTGTTTTTTCTTGGCGCAATCGAGATTTGAGCCAGCAGACAGTTGGCGTGAAACTTGATTTGAGCACTTATTAATCTATTATAGCTTTATAGGGGCACCGGACAGAAAGGGCGCGCTGTTCGCAATCTGTCCGAATTTCTAGGCCGCGAAGTAATTCTCCACTGAAAATGTGGCCTAATTTTTCAAACTCGTCCCCGAGGTCGCTCAATTTGCACTGCAAAAAGAGTTTCTCAACAGAGCGCCATTTCTGTTCGGTGCCCCTGTAATAGCTAGAAGATTTTTTAATCTAGCTAGACAATTTATTTATCTAATTAGGTGTCATATTAATCTTATTAGGCCGCTGTTAGATTAATAACGAAATGAAAGAGTACTCGACAATAAAAACTATCTGTATTTTTAATGCCGCGTCCAATGTCTCGGAAAAACCGTAAAAACCGCAGATTTTTCTGTCCAAAGTCGGTCGAAATTTGCGTGAAAATCGGGGGTGCGCACAGCTCAATGAATGTAACCGTACCCCTAAAACTACGGTATTTTTTAAAATTTTTAAAATTCTTGAGGATATTTGAAAATATTCAAATTTCTTGCGCAAATTTTCAAAAAAAACCGTAGTTAGGGGTACGGTTACATTCATTGAGCTGTGCGCACCCCCGTTTTTCACGCAAATTTCGGCCGACTTTGGACAGAAAAACCTGCGGTTTTTACGGTTTTTCCGAGACATTGGACGCGGCATAATGAAAAGGAACTCAGAATTTTCAACTGGAACGAACTTCAAACAACTCGAAAATGGAGTCAGAATGTACTGGAGAGCGATCATATTCGGAACTAAAAATGATTTTTTAAAAACTCACGGGTCATCATATTCCACGGAATGCGGGAACATTGCACACGTTTGAAGAATTCGCAAAGATGGCAATGAAAGAACGGTCAAATGGCCAGCAGCAGTAAGACACATAAGGCATGGGTAACCACGAATATGGGTCGTGGATGCTTTCACCAATGGCACTTCTTCGAACTTTTGAACAAAGAGCTGCCCGAAAGTCGGTAAAGCAACCACTTTAACTTCACTTTCAGCGACAACAATTAATATTTGAGATATGTCTTCGTTAGCATCTATTGAGTTAAAATATTGTGGAGCCAAACTGGCTTTCGTGTTGATCCTGTTCGAGAGAGCACGATCTGGACTGGAACATGAAGAGTCCTTAGCTGCTTCTTTGTACGATTCGGCTGCTGGAGACACGATACAGAAAAAACTATCCATGAACGCTTGATATAGAATACGGCCTTTCATCTTGACCACCGTACCTGAAAATATTTATCAAACAAATATTACTTTCGCGAACTAAACAAGCTAGGCTAAATAACAAATACTACACGCGTAAATAACTAGTTTGAAAACTAATAATTTTAAAAAGAACCAGAAAAATACAAAATTAGAACTTTGTCTCTAAAATGTTTAGTTTTTTCATAGAGGGTGATCGAAGTTGAGCATTTTTTAGTATTCGTATCAGAAAGCCGTCTGATATCGGTTTTTCGTCAGAAAAATGGAGAAAATTAAAAGCTACGCCGAGCCAGAACTGTCCCGAATCAGAACCCGTCACAACGTGACTTTTTGTAACAAGACCCACCTGCAGGTAATTTCTGATCCGGGACAGTTCTGATTCGGGACAGTTCTGATACGGAACAGTTCTGGCTCGGCGTGACCTCGAAAATTGTGATCTACGCATTCCCCTCCTCAAGTTTAAAGCCGCAGAACCGCAGTATGCGAGTTCTACCTTGAAAATTTTCGCTCCGTGCGAGACCCACTGTCGAGAAAGGCGTCAAAGGGACTACGCCGAACCAGAACTGTTCGAATCAGAACCAGTTAGCACTGAAAATAGTTCAGATTCGGAACAGTTCTGGTTTGGTGTACCCTCGGGGTCAAGGCGCACATCCGGCGCACTCCGGCGAATGCATAATACAAAAGTTCGTCTTTTTTCGAATTTCTTCCTATATGAAAACGATTTACCAGAGTGTTAAAATAATGAAATGATCTTGCCCAGTATTTGCAAAGACTAATAGTGCAGACTACCTATAATAACAAAAAGCCAACCGCTGTACGTCACAGCTAGATTCGGCATTTAATTCTAGGGGTACCACAAGGGGTACAAGGGGGTACAAACGCTTTTAGGGTACAAATGCATCATTCGGAAATTCATAATTCAGGGGGTACCATACTGCGGGGGTACCATCATTCCGGGGTACATTTTGAGGTTAAAAAAGGCGAACTATTCGGGGGTACCACGCTCGTTACACTGAGGTACTCAAAAAATAATAATTCTCACAGCCAATGAATTACTTTTATTCAAAGGTCAATTGTCACCTCAACTACTCTTACTTTATCAGTTAATTCATGAGAGCCCAATTTAACATAAGTTGAATTTTAAAAGAGTATTTCATGGGTGGGCATTTAATTCCGAGGGTACAACAATTTTAGCAAATACTCATTGAATACTGGTCTTTTCCCCTACTCTTTTACTACCCTTACTTTTTTACTACCCTGATATGCTTTACTACCTTGGATCTTTTACTACCCTCACATACTCTCACCACTGGGAGTCTCCCAGGAGTAAACGAAATAAGGGTCAACGTGCTCAGAGGACTCACTTGCTCAAAGGGGGCATCTAGCTTGTGTCTCGAAGGGGTCACGCAGAGGTGACTCACAAAAGTCGTGGCTGTCGGATAAAAATGATCGAAATACTACCGATTCTCTCGTCTGCGCCCTCGTGGTCTTTCCATTTCTCCTCGCCGAGAAGTTCGGGGGTCTCCTCTACCCTCTGTCCAATGTATTTTCATTTTGGTGACACTCTTGAACCGAGTTTTGCCTATTTTCTATTAATAAATCTTTCAGGGCTTCGACTGCATTATTGATAAAAAGCAAATGGTGGCGCACCGGTGGGGAAACATTACTGAGCAGCTGCGTGCACGCACTCTCATGAGAGTCCCACGTTGCTTATGAAAAAAAAATTTTGTACCCCAAAATCATGTTGCTGTACTCTAAAATTATACAATATAATACTATCACGGCCCGGATTTTCATACATAGGACTTTCGGTTTTTTCAATATATCTCCAGAAATCGAACATAGGGACCTCTGATTTTTTTATAAGAGTTCAACAATTTTACTGGGTTCTTCAAAATGAACCAGGTCAGAGGTAAATGTAAGGTTTCGGAGAGAAGTTACAGCTTCACAATTTCCACCCCTCTGTATGCTTTGCCGGCCCGTGACTATAAGAAGTTGTGCCCTAAAATTAGTAACAATCATTCTTATTACGCAAAAATCGATGAAGTTCTCTGGCATTTCGTTATTAATCTAACGGCGGCTTAATCACGGTCCAGAGCTGACAATGGGCGCAAGTGCGCCCCGCCCAATAGAGCGATACTTTGGGGGGAAATTCAAATTTTAACAGCAAAATTAGTGTTTTTTGCCAGATTAGCCACGAAAAACCGATAATTTCTCATTTGTCTCTCGATAGACCGATTGTATAGGCTATTACGAATTTTTTAAGCGCAAGAGCGTCAAATTTGGTCAAGTCGCAAATCACATTTATCCGTTTGAAGGTTTTTGGCTAAAACTGCGTGAATTTCAGTTGCTTTTCGGTAGTTTTCGCGGTTCGAGCGCTCAAAATGCTTGTATTACGTAATTTATCATTTTCAAAGCCAATTCTGTCTGAAAACGGTCAAGAAAGCGCAAAATGAGAAGTGCGGTTTTTAGGCGGCTATCGGCGGCGAAGGCGAAAAAGCAAAGTCCGCGAAAAATGCGCCAAAACCTCATTAATTCTGAGAATTAGTGTGTTTTCATGGCGAACAATAATTTTTCATCGCCTTTGACCACAAAAATCAGAGAAAACCTGCTGAAATTCATGAAAGCGCCATTTAGCCGAGGCCACGCCCATATTGTCAGCTCTGGAGACCGTGCCGATTGATATGACACCTAATTAGATTAATAAATTGTCTAGTTAGATTAATAAATCTTCCAGCTAGATTAATAAGTGCTCAAATCAAGTTTCACGCCAACTGTCTGCTGGCTCAAATCTCGATTGCGCCAAGAAAAAACAGTCGAATCTAATTAGGTCGCGTTTAGATCAGTAACTTTCTAATTAGATTAATATCGAATTGCCAGAGTTGTACCCTGTTGTGCCCTAAAGTTGTCGTACCCTCGGAATTAAATGCGTATTTCATGCGGCTTTGCATTCACTGTTCACTGGCTTTGTACCACAAAACTAAGTTTAAAAAATGTGTCAAAATGTCGTACCCTGGAATGATGGTACCCATCATGCATTTGCACTTTAAAAGCGTTTGTTCCCCTTGTACCGCCTAATTGTGGTACCCGCAGAATTAAATGCCGTTAGATTCAGAATGTTTGACCGTACTGCAGAATGTTTGACCGTACTATACTGTGAACAGCAACCATGCAGAAACCAGAGAAGAATAGCCAGAATAGAACGATTTTGAGAGACTTACATTCTTCAATAGCTGTAAAAACAATTTTTTGTTTTTTTTGTACCAAGGATAATTACTCTGGCATTTCGTTATTAATCTAATCGTAGTCTACTCAAGTTATACGGCGGCCTAATAAGATTGATATGACACCTAATTAGATTAATAAATTGTCTAGCTAGATTAATAAATCTTCTAATTAGATTAATAAGTGCTCAAATCAAGTTTCACGCCAACCGTCTGCTGGCTCAAATCTCGATTGCGCCAAGAAGAAACAGTCTAATCTAATTAGGTCGCGTTTAGATCAGTAACTTTCTAATTAGATTAATATCGAATTGGCAGAGTAAGTCACTGTCTCTGTAAGCGGTCAACTCGTGTTCACTTCGCGTTTAGAGAAGCCGAACGTGATTTTGGTTCGACAGAAGAATTTTGTGTGAATATCCTATGGACCAATTTTCACAAAAACACTAGTAAGGGTTGGGCTCGCGGAGTCAAATTTTGGAAATAGACCGGTTTCGCCCAGATATTTGGTTTTTTGGGTCGCAGAACACAATTTTCGTGCATGCTCAGACGTACCGTACTCCCAAATGTACAGTATAGTGAAAATTTTGCCAAAGTTTAACAGCCCACTCGGAGCACACGGGGTCGTGACGGGTACATCGGAAATTGAAAGTTGAACTTCCGCCAACGGTGGCCACCGTTGGCCTAATTTTTTAAAATTTCATTAGAGCGCACTTGCGCCAGTGTACCCTGCCACGACTCCGTGGACATAACGAGTGTTTTTGTGATATCATCACTTCACGGCTCCTGCCCCCTGAGAAAAGCCCGCGAAGTTCAAATGGGGCCCCGCCCCTTCAGCGTTCAATTCTTGCAAGTAGCGCGTGCAGTTTTCGCAACGGTGCCGCACGCATTTTGCTCTTCAGTTCGACAGTGAAAAAACAAGTGAAAAAACATTCGTTGTCGGTTTTTAGTGTTTTTTTTTCTGAAAAGAAGATGCAACAAGGCGACAGAATAGGTCTTGATAACAATAAATAACTTTCTGCTTTAATTTTCACGAATTCGGTGTTCAGAGCAATGTGTGCGGCAGCGTTGCGAAAACTGCGCGCGCTACTTGCAAGTATTGAACGCTGAAGGGGCGGGGCCCCATTTGAACTTCGCGGGCTTTTCTCAGGGGGCAGGAGCCGTGAAGTGATGATAAGTGGTCGATAGCTATCCTAGGATATTCATACACAAATCTTCAATCGGATCGAAAACACTTTCGGCATCTCTCGAATACGATCGAAGATGGGTTTCACGAGTTACGAAGACATTGACTTTTGAAATTTTTGATTTTTGAAAGAGGTGGGGGGCTCGAAGCATGTGACACCAAAATATGATAGTAACACAGGAAAGGAAATAAATGTGCAATTTTTAAATGTGCTCAGAACGTTACCTGACGGAGCCACAACAATAGTTGACGTGAATCGATCCTCGGGAAGTATCAAGTTCAATGCAAGCAAAGTTCCTGCCGAAGTTCCTACCCACAAACATTGGGTCATTTTCGAATCTTAATTTAGAAATAATTATTATCGGCTTTTGAGAAAATGAAACCGTTTTTCTTGGAATGAGAATGAATGAAGGATAGAGAAGCTATGGATTCTTGCGATTGTGTTGAAGTGGATTTCTCCAGGGATTGTGATGAAGTGGAGGGCGACGAAGAATTCAGCAGACGACTAGTTGACGGTGATTCCCTTTGCGAATCACCTAAAAAATGAACGCCTCGCTAACTGCGCACAGTCAGTCGAAATGACTGTAAATTAGGAACGTATCCCAATTCATAAGTAAATTTTGGAAGCCACATTCTACGCGTCTGACAGTGTCGGGAATGCAAAATGTGTTAACATCAGAAGAAACAAGGATGTTCTAATGAGAGATGAGATAACCTCTGGATAGCGTTCCGTTCTCAACAACAGACTGAGTTTTAAACAATTGTGGACGTCGAGAATCAAACGATCGCTGCTTTTGATCCGTGATTCGCTTCGGTGCTTCCAGACTGATCGGCGACTACAATTGGATAATGACAGATTAGAAGAGGGAAGAGGAAAATAGGAAAAGATCAACTTTGGGAATGAACAGAAAATTTACACATAGCAAACTAAACCTGCTAAATGGCCTCATACTTAGAAACTGGAACAATAATCAAGCTGGTACAAATTAATTTATGAAGATTTGAGAAAAGCATAGAAGATGTTGAAATAAATAAAAAAAAGCAAAGAATATCACAACATTGACATGGCAGAAAGGTTGAATAAATGTAAATGCAGACCGACCTGCCCGACACGAGAAAAAACTCAAGGGAACGAAAAAGCAACGATACGGAAGCTCACCTTCCTCCGAAATGTGGGAATGGAAACTTCGGGACCGTGCAATATTGTTGGACTTTTGTGGCTCATCATTCAGCACTTCTCGTTTTTCTTTTGCGTTTTTTGCGAATCGTCGGATGAAGCTCCCCTTCACTGAGTGACTGCGGTTTGATTTAATCACATGACCACTTTCATGCAAAGTAGGTGAAGGTGTCTCTCCTCGCAGATCGATTTCCGGACGATCAGTAGCAGTTTCAGAACGATGACCCTGGTATCGTTCCCGGATCGTGGCTGCGAGCTCGGCAGTATTACGTCGGAAAAGACCAATTACGCCACTGTCTTTTATAGAGGAGTTTGCAGATTTTGGCCGCACTGGAGTTTCGCCAGGATGCAAGAACCCGCTAGATAGGGTTGAGCTAAATTTGGACTGAAACTGTGGGCTCTCACAGGGATACGGATTCGATAATGACACGTCAATTGGAGAGTTAGCGTTTGCCGATTCACAGATCTGAAAACTCACAAAACACGGATCACTTCACTCACAACACGACACTCCCAATGGATGTGAACTAAGCATGAATCATCAAAATGCGGCATGCCACTTCAACCAGCTTCATGGCGGAATTAGTAATTACACGAAAAGGGCTATGCATGTTATTGAATGACTTACCTCGATGGGACTGGCTACATCACTAAGTTGCATGCTCAGTTGTACTGATGGGGTAGGATCTGAGCCATATAGCTCAGTAGTACTCCAAGAATATATCAATGAACATTGAGTAGTGTCTACTAAGGCCAGACCAGACGAAGTGCCTGAATTAGCTTTGTGAGAAAGAGAACATGATCAAGGCACGAACCTATTGCAATAATACCATAAGACGAATTTAGACATATAGTGGTGATTTGATCAACTTTCGAGTGGGAAGGCCAAGGTATAAAGCACGCTAACTCCGGCTGAAAGTCGTTTTGAAACGGGCCCTTTTTTTATTTCGAAACATACAACAAAACCAGCTGGTCTTTTCACAGGAGCTCCTCTGACTTTGAATGGAACTATACGTTCGTCTCCTGAATCCGAGGTATCCAGCGAGTTTGTAGATTCCCGAGAGACAATCTGGATGAGACAACTTCAATTCTGTGGAAAATCATGTTCCCAATTAATGTATATACATATATATTATATATAAATACTATTCGATAGTGAATATTTTAAGATTTTTAAGATACGTCACACCCCCTTAAATTCTTAGATCACCTAGGTGTCTAGAATCGCATCCCCCATCAAATCCCACAAATCAAATTTTTTGAAAAGCTATAGCCCAGAGATGTTGGGAATAAAAATTTTACTCTACGGAACACGGAACACGGAAAACGGAAAAAAACTTATTTCTACGGAACACGGAAAATTTTTTTTTTACGGAACACGGAAAAAAGCGTTTTCAAGAGAATTCCAGTGATTTTTTTAAAATAATGTTTTGTTTAATTCGATTATCTGACTGACAAGGCAGCTGTTTGACTCATGTGAAAGTTTTACTGAAAATTTCCTAAGAATAACAAAACCAACAACACAACAGTAAACAACTACAGTAAAAAACGACTGAAAATGGAATCCACTTTTCACGAATATGGTCCGAATCCGAAAATTTTCAAATTTTGACCACAAAACGTCAATTGTCCTAATCTTTCCGGAGATAAATTAGATCTACGAGGCGAGCAGTTTTCCGCGGAAAATATAGTTTATACGGAACACGGAACACGGAAAACGGAAAAAACTTATTTCTACGGAACACGGAACACGGAACACGGAATTCCCAACATCTCTGCTATAGCCTATAGGGGCACCGGACAGAAAGGGCGCGCTGTTCGCAATCTGGCCGAATTTCTAGGCCGCGAAGTAATTTTCAACTGAAAACATGGTATAACCTTTCAATCTCGGCCCCGAGGTCGCTCAATTTGCACTGCAAAAAGAGTTTCTCAACAGAGCGCCATTTCTGTTCGGTGCCCCTATAATAAAACGCTGAGTTTCCATATAGGTTTTCTCGTACAAACTGTGTAGGTAAAAATTGACACGATAACTGGCGAAATCCAAGTTGACGTTTCTGAAAATGATTGCTGCTGCTTTACTATTTAATTATAGTTTGTGTTAATAACGATGGGATAAGACGGTGAGCGTTATTTCTGATCAAACCAGCCGAGACAAATCTAAACACTATATTCAGAGATTGAAAGCACATAACGCGCCATTCAACCACAGGAACGTTTTACGGTTCTATAGATTACAGAGATGGTATAATTTCAAACCATCACGAACTTACTTTCCGTTGTCGTCTAATTTCTTTTCCTGATTGAGAATTAGATGATTGAGGCACATCACATGATGGTATTGAAGAAGGACATCCACCTAGCAAGGGAATGTTGACTACTGCGATTGTACTGCATAGCTCCTGTTTTGTAAAACGAAACAGAGAAACTTGTCCAGATATCCCAGCAACCAGAAGTTGTCGTGACTAAAAATTTAGTTTTTGAAGACAATATTATTAGAATAGCACCTCTAGACAAATTTCAATGTGTTTGACAGCATGTGATACTTTGTCAGATGTTTCCATTTCTTCGAGACGTTCAAAATGTGAGGATGACTTCATTTTGTACAGTATCTGCAGATGCTCCCCAGTCTCTTGCCAGAACTTCAGCGAGCCATCTTTGTGGCTAAAATGTTTTCATTATATAGCTCATTTTATTGTTCCACATTATCTCTACCCTGTGACTAAAAGTTCTTGATGTCCAGTGGCACACTCTCGACCCAATCCTCCCGTGATTGGCCATGACTGAAATATGCAGCATTGTAATGCGCGTAAAATCTGTTGTCAATTCTGCCTCTGCCGTCTTTTGTAGTGCAAGCACACTTTTGAGTTTGCGGGAATGACTGAGCGTACGTGGATTCGTAAATGCTATATATTCAATGCTAGGGGTTACTCGGCGGATATTTTTTCGTTTTTTTTTAAATTGTTCTGTACGTCGCTGAGTTTTTATCGCCGCTTTTTTTACTTGGTGTTTTCTTATGACAATTGTGACGTTATTCATCTTTTTTCCCGTTTTTTTTTTTCGTTTTTTACGTCAGAAAACTGAATTCAGCGATGTGAAAAACGAGAAAAAAACATACGCTAATTAACGAATTTTCGAATTTTCATTCCAATTTGATTTTCTATAAACACTGCTAACCATTCTTACGCTGCGCGGGCAGAACTAGGCTAGCGGCTTCTTGTTGTTGAATTCTCAACCGTTCGAAAGTTCACGTGTTCATTTCTTGATTTCTCCGTCACAACTATTTCCGTTTTTGAAATTAAAAAATGGCCGGGCAAACAGAGAAAGAAAGAAAGAAAGAAAGTTGCGGAAAGACCCCACTAGCTTTTTATTAAATAAGAATGATGATGATGATGATGGTAAATCTTCATGGGTTTGTCCCTCTGTTTGTTTGTTTGTTTGTTTTTAGAAAGTGTTTTAGAAAGTCTTGTAATTAATACACTTCCGGAAGTTCCAATAAATATCTACAGGTAAAATGAAGCTACTGCTAACTTTCGTTATTGTTTTTGGCATGGCTTGGGCCATTGAGGACACAGCAGTTTCTAATTTCAAAATCGGCGTGCTGGCAAAGGACCAACAGCCTAACCCGGAAAACTTGAAAAAGTAAGACATTCACTTGTTTATAAGTTAACTATGATTCCATCCACTCAGCCTGGAAGTATATTCGAAACTCAAGGACATACTGAAAGCCGATTCATCTCAACGTATCTACATCTCATTGGAAATCAATAAGAAAGCTGATAAATCTGCAGTCACCCCTCAACAAGTATTTCTGAGATTCTTGGCTAGTAATGGAGAAGATGCAGTTTTCGTAATTACTCCAGACTCGAATGGAATTTACCTGCATGACATGGTGAGCGGTTTTAAGGATATGAGGATTAAAATTGTTTTTGATTTTCCAAAATTGTGGAACTTTTTAACAGGTATTCCGCACTGCTGCTAAGACATTCCGGAATTTGAGCGGCAAACTCCACCTGAGCCTTATTGTTGGAGACGTCTCCATAAAAAATCCAATTCGCTGGGAATTCGTAAGTTTAGCTTATTGATTTACAAATATCTTCGTCATCTCGACAAGCCGAGCTTTCAATTAAATGATATACTCAATTTACCGCTCTTGCCCCCTCGGTGTTTGCAGACTCAAGCCTAATTTCAGGAAAATTTGGCTTGAGTCTGCAAACACCGAGGGGCAATAGCGATGAATTGAGTTTAACGATTTCTAATTTAAAATTAAAGAAATTAACAGGACGGCTCGTCCACCGAAGCGGTTTTAAATATGTCCGAGAAGACTTTTCATTATTTTCTTCTCAGGCCGATCTCGAGCTCTCCCTCCTATCCATTTCCGATACTGTACCAAAATCGCAGCAAGTGCGTTATGAGCTGATGGAAGAACTTCATCATATTTTCCGACAACCCGAAAAACGTCCATCGGCTATTATCTCAGATTTGTTCACAGCTATTTGCTTGTCTCCACTGGTCGTTCTTCTCGGACTGGTAATTTCTTCCTTTAGCTATGCAAAAACATTTCACCTTTTTCAGTGGTTCCAAATTGGAATAAACATCGAAAACGCTCCAGTCTCAACGTGGGTGCCCATTTTTCATATAGGCCTAGCAGGTTTTAATTATTTACGAACCAAATTTACTATCTTATTTAGGAGTCTTCGGTGTCTACTTCTTTTTCTGGGTTCGAATTGATATGTTCGAGACGCTTAAGTATTTATCGGCGCTAGGATTCCTGACTTTTGTCGCGGGAAACAGAGTGCTCCGAGCTCTAGCTGGGCAGAAATTGAAGCCGGAATGAAAACTTGCAGAAGAACAATGGAATGGCTTCAAATTGCCAAATGTTTTATGTATAACTGGAGTTTGTTTGCTGTGATCGAATAAATTATTTTTAGCCACACTTGCAAGATCTGGGCATGGACAGGTCAAGCCTGCACCAGGCTTTAAAATAAAACATAATTTTAACAGAGATGTGAGATCAGTGATGATTTGTAAGAGAGCGGACGCGGTCAGTGTTTCATGTGTGATTACGCTCGAGCGCAATTGCCAAAATTATGCTGTGCTTCTCACGGTCTCCCAGGGCGCTAATGCTAAACACAGTGCGCTCGTAAATTGCGGTGTGTCGTTGTAACTTTTGAAAATTTGCAGGTCTAAAAATGCAGTTCAATTCGAGTTTACGACCTTTATTTCTTTCTTTTTTACTTGAAAAACGTCTAGAAAACAATATTTTACTGGTTGGAAACCGTTCTTTACAGAATTTGGAGTTTTTCATGTTTTTAGCGTCTTTTTCGCATTTCGTCAAAACTTCAAACCTTTATATTTCAGCTCATTTTGCATTTCATGATCCCAACGAACGATAAAAATGTTCGCTGAATCTTTCTTCACAAAATTCAGGTTCCGGCGGTTAGTTTTCTTGAGCAGTTTTCGAAAACTATGCGAAAAACTTCAAAATCCAAGCCAAAACCTTCAAATCGAAATAACTCGGTTAATTCTCAACGATATGTGAGATTTCAGTTACCAAAACGTAGCTAGTGCTCTAATTATTCGAATCCAGGTCCAGGCGTACAAAAAATATCTGTATTGCATAGAAAACATGGAAAGAACGCGAACTTCCGTTGAAAATTAATTAATCGGCCGCCGCGTAAATCGACACAGCCCGCCTGTTGCAAGTGCGCCCCATTGAAATCATTCGCGCCGTGGGAGACCGTGCTTCTATTAAAAAATAACTTAGAAAACATGCATTTTAAGCTATTTTCATCGGGAAAATGACAATATTCTCGCGCCCCTTTTGCGCAAACTTTAAGCGTCCTCGCAGCTTTTGCGCAAACTTTAAGGCATGTCGAAATTGATATGGAAACTTTGCATTTTCAGTACTGTTCGCTTTTTCCAGCTTGTTTTTATGCGTTTTATTTGTTTTTTGTTGCTTATCAAATTGAAACTGCTTATCTTTTTCCGTATTTCCTCGGTTTGAGCGCATTTCAAGCGAAATTTCAGTCGGATTTCGTTTAGAAGCGAGTGTTATTGAAAATTTGTATGAAATCACTTGAATTCGAGCTACTTCACAGTTATTTAAAATGTTTGAACGATTCACATGCTCGTACTTTTGTACTATATCACATTCTTTTCTGATTTAGATGTAACATGAACCACTGTGAAGAGAAAAATGAAACTATCGACTTCAGCCAAAAAGTGTCCAAGTCATTTGTCTCGAAAGGAGACTCGGTGAGTTCCGTTCGGATTAAGACTGTTGTATGACTACGTGCGATATGATTCAGAAGAGAAGTGAAACCAGAGTTGAGCGGAATCGATTTTTTGAAAGGCGGAATTAAATTTTTTTGGCGGAAGGCGAAAAGACGCGGCATAGACACGGCCGTTACTCCTCCGATTCATGAATCAGAAGAGTGTTTCAGTGAGTTAGCAGAGAATTTTATAACTCGTAGATGAGAATTTCAGATTTTGAGGATGGTGTCTCCTACATCGCCTGCATTTTCACTTATAACAACGTGTCTTTTTTCAGTTATGAACGTGACGAAGACTATACAATCACTGATCTCTAAATGGTACTTGTTTCTGGTTTTTATACTATCCCAATAAAATTGTTTTTTCATGCAGAAATGAAGTGAAAGTAAACTGAACATTTTTAAGCAGCATTTGGGCAAACTTTTAAAACTGGCAGCTTTTGCGCAGACGTTACGCAGCTTTTGCGCAACTAGCCAGCAGAAGTTGCGCTAACTTTGCGCAAAAGCTGCGTAAAGTTTGCGCAAAAGTGGCGCGCCTTTGCCGAGTTATTCTAATTTTCTCAATTTTTTCGGACCGCCAAAAGGGGCTCAGTATCAGCCTCCGTAAGTATGATGCTTATGGGGCTATTCAGCGTATGTTTGTTTTCCGTTTTTTTACATCGCTGAATTGGATTTTTTGACGTTAAAAACGAAAAACAATCATTTTTTTCACAGCCTGAATAACCCCATTACGCTTTTTCTCACCCGTTGACTGAATTCCTTGTTCCGCTGCTTCGTTCCGACAAGAGTTAGAGCACCAATCAAGTCTAGCGGACAATCCGAGAAGTATGAAATACAAGTAACTGGACTTTCATGAATGTTCATTGCATGTGGCGATTCGATAACTGGGTGCCCTTGCTGAGCAAGATCCAATACCATGAAATCATGTTTCAGTAAAACCGCAACAGAATGCGGTGCTTGCGGGATTCCATTCCAAATATTCTGAAAAGACTATATGGCACACGCTAATTGGGTCATTCAGCGTATGTTTGTTTTCCGTTCTTCGTTAGTTTACATCGGTGAATTGAGCATTTTGACGTAAAAAAAACGAAAAAAAAACATACTCTGAGTAACCCATAATGGGACTTTCGACTGTTTACAACACAAAAAAAGGCGCTTGTGCCGAATTGGGGCCTTTTTTCCTGAGCACTGCCTGCGTTTATTTCTGGGAGTGTCGGCTCGACAAAATAGTCTTGCCGAGCTCATATATATATATATATATATATATACATATATATATTATAAGGGCATCTCACAGAAATGGCGCTCTGTTCGCAATCTGGCCGAATTTCTAGGCCGCGAAGTAATTTTCAACTGAAAACATGGTATAACCTTTCAAACTCGGCCCCGAGGTCGCTCAATTTGCACTGCAAAACTCTGGCAATTCGATATTAATCTAATTAGAAAGTTACTGATCTAAACGCGACCTAATTAGATTGGACTGTTTTTTCTTGGCGCAATCGAGATTTGAGCCAGCAGACGGTTGGCGTGAAACTTGATTTGAGCACATATCAATCTAAATAGAAGATTTATTAATCTAGCTAGACAATTTATTAATCTAATTAGGTGTCATATCAATCTTATTAGGCCGCCGTAGAACTCGAGTACGATTAGATTAATATTGAAATGCCAGAGAAAAGAGCTTCTCAACAGAGCGCCATTTCTGTGCGGTGCCCCTATAATACGCGTCTACTTGTTACCTGCGCAAGTGGAATGAATTGAATAATAGGCCAATCCATTTCCAGAACCGTTGCTGATTTGCCTCCTTTTAAAATAGTGAGTGCTGGAAGTGGGGGACCATCATCTGCAGGCATTCCTCCAGAAAACATAATTATACTTTCGCTTTCTGTTATATGTTTCCATTCGATCTGCTGAATTGGTCTACACGATCCAGTGCCGTGAGGTGTGATTCTTTGCAGTGGCTCCGTACATTTTTTGTGGTTGAACAGGCTGATAGAACCGTCGACATTTCCAGTGAGAACTTGACGACCATCAAAATGCCAATGAATACTCTTGATTGGAGGATCAAGAGGAAAACGATCTACTTCACGTGTTGTCAGATTCCATTGTACCAGAATTCCTTTATCATAGATAATCAACAACTTTGTATTTTCAACCGGTGAGATTGACAATTGTCGAACTGGGCCCGGGTGAATACGGCATGATCTAAAAAACGCTCATGATGTTGTCGATACGGAGCCATACAAATTTGTCGCCTATGTCGGTTTTCTTAATTTCGTGGCTTACAGGTCTATTGCTTTGTTCCAATTAATTACATACGGACTCAGAAGAAAACTGTTCAAACACAAAAAGTAGACATTTCCCTGAAATAAAATCATAAATAACGATTAATAGTTATCACTTACTTTATCAGTTCCAATGTACAACCATTTTCCAGCAACTGGTAGATGAATAGCAGTAACTGATTCTTTGCTTAACTGGACGGAATGCACAATTTCAGCAGTCTGAATTTTGATTAGCGATTATTGTTAGAAGCGTTTGGGCTACCTTTTGTCGGTAGTTCCACAAATGGATTGAGTCACTTCCACATGAAGTGATCAATCCACCCTCATTTATTAAAAACTGCATGTGAAGTACTGGTTCACCAGATTCATGTTTCAAGAGATAATCCACACCAGCATCTCCAATCATTCTTATGTGCCCACGACCTGTACCAATGGCTACAAGACGTTGTACTGGATCATACGCCATACATCGCGGGTCTTCTGGAAAGCCATGACGCACAACCTAAACGTCTCATTAACACGGAAATTGAAGTCTATTCTACTTTGGCAAAACAGCAGTGTTCCGGCAAGACTTTTTCCTCTACACTTATCTCAGGACGATTGTGGAACGATCGAAGCCCATCGATAGCCGATGCGAATCTAAAGTTGTAGCCGTTTTAGAGAATCTGGAGCCGTGCCAACTTCTTTTTTGCTCTATCCATATCCTTTTGTCAAGGAAATCCTACCAACAACATTTACGCTGTGATTTCTTTCCAAACGCTTTCGACAGTACTGGTTATTTCTGTAAATTTTTTTCCTTTGTTATCACTAATTTACTACTTCGGGCTCTCAAAGATATTCATTCAATAAAGAACACAATAGTCATACTAGGCAATGACGAAAAAGAAAACGAAAGAAGCGAGAAATGGCAGAGAGTACAGACGGCGAGAACAAATTCGGAAGAGCGGTCGATTTTTCCAACGTTGGACTTATACGAATTTGAGTAACTTATCGGAGAAGCAATATTTAAGCAAAGAAAGGTAAACAATGCAGTAGTGCGCAGTGCGCAGTTGGGTACCACGAATTTAGAAGAAGTCTCAGAAATTAATACATTGCATATTTTTCGGAAATGGAAAAAGGTGTGACTAGTATGAATGACACAATTACCGGTGAGTTGTCAAACTGCTCGAGAAGCATCATAATTGAACAGGTGAAAGAGACTTGAAAGAGAAAATTCTCAGTCTCGCTTACTACTTACTGCAGTCATGGCATTTTTTGAGGTGAATATTAAGGGAAATTTTAAATTACATTCCAACAGATGTAATCACGATACTAAGATGAATAATGATTTCAGTCGACACGGTCTTAAAATTCACAAAATGTTTCCTTTTTAAAATTTGGAATTTGTCGCATGAGCTCATATGAAAAAGCTTGAGCGAATGTGCGCGCGACAAACCCTTTCCAATATAAGGCATGCTCGTTCTCGACACAACTCCGGAAACTCACCAAATAACTTTTTGCAGTCAATTTATTTCATCTTCGGATGAACTCCGGCTGGATGTAAAAAGAAAATCAAAAATCTAATTAGTTAGAAACGCGAATTAGCTAGCTAGATTACAAACGATTTACCTGAGGAACTAAAGGGGAGCTCATGTTTAACAATGAGATGAGCGATGCAGGTGAAGTACCTTACTGACCTATATTTTTAAACTACATGAACAAATTCTGAAACGCAACGCTGCGCTGTTATCCTACCAAGCGAAACATATCGTGAAATCATAGATTCTTCTCTTTTCTTCGAGAATAGAGAGAACGAAATTTGATATATTTTGAAATCTAAATATTTTTTCATCTGAATTCTGATTTATGAATGCCTTGATGAAACATAACCTTCTTTTGTATTATACTATTTAATCGACTTTCCTTCGTTCTTTTAACTCTTCCATGGCAATGAAGCGAAATATGAAACGAACGGTACAGTGAGAAAGAGAGAGAAAGAGAGAAACTTACTGACTGAAAAGTAGACAGTGGCAGAAAGAGAGACAGAGATAGAGACAGACACGGGCAATTGGAGGGTGTAGAGGAAGAAAGATTGAGAGAACGTAAAGGAAAAGATAAAAAAGAGAGCTTTTTCCGCTTTTTCCTTTTTTGGCAGAGCAAAGCAGCCTTACTAACACGGAGAGACGCCGTGAAAGCCCACTATGGACTGCTATAGAAGGGGTGGATGGATGAAATTAAATGTGCGTATAAAGATAAATTGCTGAAGAGCCACAAAAATGGACAAACTGGATTAACTAACTGGTATCCCGTTGTGACGGATAAATTAAGAAATTAACAAGTGAATTTTCGAACAGTTATAACCTAGTTGTGTTATGGTAAAGAAATTAGCGGCAAAGCGCAGCGGGCCCCGGTTTCAAAAGTCTTGTTGAACAATACACTACACGGGGTTCCAAAGACTACGCGGCCGAACTCATTCAAAATTCCCCGCATTTTTTGCAATTGGCTGCGTAGTGACACAGTCGCCTTTTTCAATTTGAATTTAAAACCTGACATGGCGCCAATCGCGATACAGCGCACTCAACGCGTGTGATTTCTATGGAGCGCGTCTGCTAACGTCTCGGTAAATGCCGGCATTTTCTGAGCAAACTTTAGGGTGATAGCAGCTTTTGAACATTTCAGCAACTTCTGAGCAGATTCTGGGCAAAAGTTTCTAAAGTTCTGCTCAAAAGATACCGGCATTTACCGAGGTAGTCTTTGGACCGCCATGCTCTACGTATCGCCAGGCTAGCCACTCAAATGAGTCGCTTCGCAGCCAACGTTAATCGCACCCTACCAAACTTCTCGCAAAAATGACCGACCTTATATTCCATATAACTTTCCATCCTCTAATTCTTGCATAATTACCCACCTATCACAATTCCCCTTTTGACATCTTTATTTTAACGTACTTTAACAGTCGTGATAAAATAATAATAATAATAATAATAACTGGTTTTTCCCGCGAAATTAAACTTATTATTTTTACAGATGCGCTTCAAAACGCGGTGCTGTTCTTCTTTCCGAAAAATACAACGAGAACTGATTTATTCCAAGTAAAGATCTATTTGAAAACAGTTATATTCCGAGAACATTTTCATTTCGCGCAGTCCGTTTCCGAGAGATGTCGTACCCTGTTCACGATAATCAAATTTGAATAGTACAAATTCCATGCTACACGTTGATGGAAGAATTTTACCGAAACCATAAATTCTAGTCCATCCTCCAAAATCAGCCAGCCACTATTCTTTCCATCAGAACGCTTTTCAACCATAACATTTGATAGACGCTTGATAAAAATGAGGCAAAAAAATAACAGCGAAAACGTTTAGCTATCTTATACATGGTATACGCGTAAACTAATTACAAATTCGTCCACTAATAAACGTTTGAGGAATCGCCACGGCATGCATTCAAATGCCGAACTGGTTGCAAGCGCGCTCTATTGTCATATGTGCATCTAGCTAGCATTGGAGGTGTTGCTTTTATTCTTCAACCGAAGAGCCGATGTTAATAAAAATTCAAAAAAAAAGTAGGATTCATTAACCTGATCATTATCTGTAATTTTGACACCGTATACTCGAGAATGTGAAAACAAGATAATCTAAAATCGGGCTACGATACAACGAGTTTGTGCTCAAAGTTTTTGAAAAAGTGAAGTAGTTTTGCCAGTAGCACATGTCACTGTTTATTTCAAAAATAACCTGATAGGTGACTATAAAGAGCATTTCATTTTTATTAATATAACTTATAGGGTTTGTTCCTTGTTACTCTGGTAAATGGATTGCGATTTAATTAGAACTTATTCACATCTAATAATGACACAATAAGAAACTTTCTTGGATTAGATACGAAAACTCTAACTAGACGTCAAATTTGATCAAATTTCATAATTGGATGCTGATATTTCACTTTTGTAAGTAGATGTGTTTTGAGTTCAGGGTCGATCAATTGTGTTCATGTGACAAATACTAGCACGAATCCTAGTGTGAAACATCAGTAACCAGGCTTTATTCCGATCGAATCTTTAATTTTAATGGGGTTATTCAGCGTTTGTCTTTATTTTCGCTGTTTTAGCTTTTTTGTTCTGTCAAAAAATTTAATTGAGCAACGTAACACAACAAGAAAAAATATTGCAATTGGCTGAAGTTTGTTGGCTGAAGTTTGTTGCCGAATTGTAAAATGAAGTTTTTTTTTCAGTGTTTCCCCTTACTTTTTTAATGTATCGCTTCTTTTGAACCATTCAAAATCTTTAACCTCAAACTATCCAGTTTCCTGCTTTATTGGTAATTTTTCATTTTAGATGTCAGATACGGCGGCTGTAGGCGACCAGCAGCAACAACAGCGCCCATGGGCAAGTCCGAGACAAGTACGATATAAATAAAAGACTCAGAATAGCTTGTTTTTTCAGCAACCTGTAAAGGGTATTGTTCAACCTAGAGTTCTCCCCCCTTTCGGTAAACCAACAAGGCACACGAACAAGCTCGACTACATTATGAACACTGTTCTCAAAGAAGCATCTAAACACAAACATGTCTGGCCTTTTCAAAAACCTGTTGATGCTCTTACACTGTGTATTCCGGTGAGATTAGTTTTTTTTTAACCGAAATACAAAAATTTATGTTTTTTTAGCTTTATCATGAAAGAATTGCTCGTCCGATGGATTTGAAAACTATCGAAAATCGGCTAAAAAGTACTTACTATACATGCGCCCAAGAATGCATTGATGTAATAAGTTGTGCGAAAACACCTGCAGTATTTTTGAGTTCCAGGATATCGAGACTGTGTTCAATAACTGCTATGTATTTAATGGAAGAGAAGACGATGTCACTATAATGGCCCAAAATGTTCACGAGGTTATCAAAAAATCTCTCGAAAACGCTCCTCGCGATGAACATGATATGGATGTTTATTGGGGAAAAAACAAGAAAAAAGGAAAGGCTGCTGATTCGAAGTCGTCGTCAGGTTCTGAGAAAAAAAAAGAATTGCGTGGTCCATCCGAAGCACGATCGGAATGTGGGAGTGAAGCTAGTGGAATAGAAAAGGTAAGTAGCTTTTCCTGGAGACTGGTGTGATATTTTTATCGATGAGGCTTAACTCTTTAGAAGACTTTTTCTGATGGATGGTACCTTATAGGTTATAACAGAGAGGTTGACAAAAAATTATTTCTTTCTTTCTTTCTTTCTTTCTTTCTTTGTTTGTCTGGCAACTTTTTCATTTTTAAAACGGAAAAGCTGCAACAGAGAAATTAAAAAATGAACACGTGACCTCTGGGAACTCGATCGCAATCTAATTAGAAAACTTTGCAATCTAATACGAACTCGTTTGAAATACAATTTGCTTCAATTAGATTGCAAAATCTTCTAATTAGATTACAATCACTGCAATTTTCTAATTAGATTGCAATGTTTTCTAAATAGATTGCAATTTTTTCTTATTAAATTGCAATTCAGGAAAAATATATTGTAATCTAATAAGATTTTACTGGAACTTCAATTAAATCTGATTAGATTGCGAAATAGAGCTTTTTCTCATTAGATTGCAAACTCTTCCAATTAGATTGCAATCGAGTTTCCAGAGACCTTTCGAACGGTTCTGAGAATACAATACGCGAGCCCAGGTTCCAAAAGTCTTGTAACCTATAACGTCAGAAGAGGTGCTCTAAGGACTTCAGCTACCTTCGAGAATACTGACGATGCACGAAAACAGGACGTTCAACCCTTGAAATCTGAATGATATATTTTTTAATCATAGTTCAGCAGACAAAAAACGACAACAATTTTAGGCTGAAAGGAAGCCGGCAGGAAAAAAAACTGTAAAGAGGAAAGCTGAGTCGGATGAAGACGAAAAAACGGAGCCGCAACGTACGAAACGAGAAGCAGCAACAAAAAAAGATCCTCATCATACTATATCTCCAATTATGAAGCCGTGTTTGAAGCTATTGAACGAATTTTACAATAAGAAATACCACGTAAGTCTTGAATTGCGCGAAGCCTTTAAATTTTTTTCACAGGAGATCTCTTGGCCGTTTCATGAGCCGGTTGACGCAGAGGGACTTGGCCTTCACGACTATCATAAAATTGTGAAGGAGCCAATGGATATGCGAACAATCAAGAGAAAACTCGAATCTTGTGAATATAAAGATCCGACTGAATTCGAAAGAGATATGAAACTGATGCTGAACAATTGCTTGCTATACAATCCAAGTGGGGATCCAATCAATTCCGTTGGGAAGAGGTTTTTGGAAGTGTTTGAGAAAAAATGGGCGACCTTGGGAGATTCTTCGTCACGTGCATCATCAGTAGGCCCATCGGCAACTGCTCCAGTCTTGACTTCGATGATTTCGAAGTTTCCAAAAACAGCGGTGCTCAACGAAACAAAGAAAGAGATTAAAAAGGAACTAATGGAATTATCGGGATCCAGTTCTGAAGATTTTGTTCAAATAAACAATGCCTTACGTATGATTAATGAACGCGAGGAGATGCTCCGTCTCGAATTGGAAGCCGCTACGCGATTGAAGGAAAAATTGAGGTCTGTAAAGGCACGAAGAGAAGAAAATCCAAGCGAACCGTTTCCTGATAAACTGATAATCGATGCGAGAATGATGTGTACGTCAAACAGTCTTTCAACTGTTACTGGAACTCCTAGTTACAAGGTGCGGAATTTTATATTATTGACATGGTCGAAAAAATTTCAGAACGGTAAAGGAAAAAAAGCAAATACTTCAAAGATGTACGAATTCGATTCTGATGATGAAGAAAACCGAAAAGTTATGTCTTACGAAGACAAGCGTGGTTTAAGCGTTATGATCAATCGGCTACCACCTACACACTTAAGTACGATAATCTCCATCATACAACGACGAGAAAATAGTGCTGTTCGTCACATTTCAAGATATATCTGGTAGTCTTAGTTTCTAGATCGATAAGCAGCAACAAGCAGAAAGTGAAATTGAAATCGATTTTGAATCACTCGGAGATATGTGCTTGCGAGAAATGGACGCTTTTGTGCGATCAGTCTTGAACATTAAAAAAAATGAAGATGACATGGTAGCGCCGAAGTTAGAGTCAGTACCAGCAGAAGACAAGAATCCTGTCGCTAACAGAGACGAAAAAAAGAGTAAGGCGTTTAATATGTTATACACAAAATTCCTCAATCACAGAAAAAGGATTCAATATGTCTGAGTCATCCGATGACGAGACCTCCAACAGCAGGAAACGCCGGAAGAAGGATAGTAGCGAATCGGAAAGTTCTACTTCAAGTGATGACGAATCTGAAGATGATATAAAGAGTAAGCGCGTTGTTACAGTGATATCGCAGAAGTATGGCGAAAGTTCCAAAAATCTTGAAAGAATGATATCCCTTGTTGTACACCAAGAACGGAATAGAACTTAAAAGGAAAAGAACTGTTACGAAATAGAACTCGCAACGTAAAAAACTGTGGGGAGTTATACGACTCCGTTAAATAGCTTGTTATTAAATAAGAATGAGGATTATGGTATCAGCCTCTAATGAAATTTGACAGCTAAATTAGCTGAGCTAATTAGAGAGTTTTCAAATATCATCATCATCATCATCATCATCATTCTTATTTAATGAAAAGCTTATATGGAGTCTGTCAATTTCTTTCTTTCTTTCTTTGTCCCGGAAATGAATTGTCCAGCAACTTTTTCATTTCTGAAACGAAAATAGTAGTGACAGAGAAATTGAGAAATGAACACAAGAAGTTTCGTACGGATCTGAGAATCTAACAAGCGGCGAAGCCGCTTCCTAGTGTTAGCTCCTCGGACGAATGAATTCGAATCTAATCATAGTGAAATTAGTATCTAACGGAACCTCTTTAGATTCAAAAACTTCCTGAGTATATTCGCAAATTGTCTTATTAGATTCGAAATTTGTCTAATTAGATTCGGGAACCCGCCGGCGAATCTAAATAGGTTTGCATTAGATTTGAAACTTTTATAATTACACTTGGTTTTTCTTGCGAATCTGAAGAGGTTGCGGTAGAAACTAAAAGCACCTAATTAGATTCGAATTGATTTGTATGAGTCGGACCGCGCAGTTGGCTCTGTTTTTGAAAGTCTTGTAGTAATCATTCTTATTTAAGTTGTTCTGTTTGTCCGTTCCACTTCAGTTATAAAAAAAAACATTGTGACAGAGAAATTAAGAAATGAACACGTGACTGGCGATCTAATGGCTATAAGAAAGCAGAGTTGCCACGGGCCGGGCCGAAATTTTCAAAACTCCGGCCCGACCCGGCCCGGTTCAAAAAGCGGGAATCCAACTCTGGGAACTCGATCGCAATCTAATTAGAAAACTTTGAAATCTAATACGAACTCGTTTGAAATAGAATTTGCTTCAATTAGATTGCAAAATCTTCTTATTAGATTACAAGCACTGCAATTTTTCTAATTAGATTGCAATGTTTTCTAATAAGATTGCAATTTTTTCTTATTAGATTGCAATTCAGGAAAAATATATTGTAATCTAATACGATTTTACTGGAACTTCAATTAAATCTGATTAGATTGCGAAATAGAGCATTTTCTTATTAGATTGCAAACTCTTCTAATTAGATTGCAATCGAGTTTCCAGAGAAATTTTGAACTATTGATTAAATAAAATGTTTGTTTTTCGTAGAACTAACGAATTTTGCAAGTATCGAGCATAAAAAAGCAAAAATTGAACGACTTTCCACTTCTCAGACAGAACTTCGCAGTTGCATCCGTGATTTTCGCAACTTGATTGCTGAAGAGCTTTTTCTCGTTGAACTGAGTGATCTTTTTTGCTTCAATTTTGAATTATCCTCTTCAGCACTTTTTTTTTTAAAATTTTGATCCCCGCAAAAAAAACGAAAAAATAGATTTCCCCCAAAAATTTGAATTCGCGCCTTTTGAGCCGGGCCGACCGGGCCGGGCCAGCAAATTTTCGGCCCGTAATTTGGCAAGTCTGTAAGAAAGAAACAAGCCGTTTTCGAGCGTAAGCTCGGCCCGCGCAGCGAGCCCCGGCTTAAAAGTCCTGTATTTAATAGTAAAAATTTATACTTGAAGAAAGTTTCACTTTTACTGTGCCATTATTAGATGTAAGACATCTAGTAACACGATTTTTAGAATCGTGTTACTAGATGTTTTTTTTTAGAACTTTTTTAGAACCTGGGCCCGCTGCGCGGGCCGAGCTGCTTCGCCGCTACTCAGGTAAATCGTTTTTAATCTAGCTAGCTAATTCGCGTTTCTAACCGGACCTAATTAGATTGCTAATTTACTGCGAACAGATTGCAAATTCTTCTAACTGGACTTATAAATTATCTAATTAGATTGGCGAAGCTAAGCGAAAACACTGATTCAAAATTTATCTAATTAGATTAAATAAGAATGATGATATCGAAAACAGTTTGCCAGTGTAATGGGGTTATTCAGGCTGTGAAAAAATTATTTTCCGTTTTTTTTTTCGTTTTTTTACGTCAAAAAATCCTATTCAGTGATGTAAAAAAAAAAAACGAAAAAAAAAACGGAAAACAAACATACGCTGAATAGCCCCATAAGAAATTAAGTTAAATCATGATATTAGGTGTTACTGTTGATTAGGGGTCATGGAAAATTCTACGTTAAGAAACCATATTCAGTATCGTACTCCACTGTTCTCAGATGTTCCCCGCAAATCAGGTCAGCCGCCATCAACGTCACGTGAGTGGAATCACGGGCAGCCACAACCTAGAATAGGAGGGATGGGTGGTCAACCACCAACATCACGTGTCCCACCTTCAGTTTCTCTGGCGAAAGTCGCAACTGTCACTTCTAATCGTGAGCCTTTCTCGTTTTGCTAGTAGAATTTCATGACTGCTTCGTTCTCCTTCCATTTGTCCGAGATTGCATTAAAAAATTCTTGTATCCATAGCTGACATCTCTTATTTACAACTGATACTCGGTATTGAAGCGGTATACTGCACTTCGTGTCTACTAATTTCATAAATTTTAACTGCCAAAGTCGTTCCGTGGACCTCCAAATTTCATTTACCATGTAAGAATAACTGTAGAACATTTTTTCGTAGCAATTGTTATGAATTGCTTTGTAACGTAAGATACAGTTGATTTGACGAATAAAAAGACTGTTCTCTAATATTGTTTCTATTTAAAAGGTACTAAAGGTTTGTCTACATAGGCACTGTTTTCATCATAATCCAATTAAGTTCTCTACGATTCCCCTGAGTTCTCGTTGCTGAAAGATTTCAAAGTTTTAATCAGCACATTGTTCTTAGGTACTCTTGTATAACTCGGACAAATGGAATACCTGAAGTTGGTTTGAGAATTGTTTTTAGATGCGTCCAAAGCCTCTACTAGAACAGTCAAGCAAGAGAAAGGTGCAGCGGTAGCTGCAAAAAGCAACGAAAAGATTTCCAAAAAAGCTGAAGTCGTAGGCAAGAGTATTCTAGACAAACTACTTCCTGATACGTTTGGGACGACGCAGGTACTCCTAATTTTGGAAATTGGCTTTTGAGTGTTTGGATTTTATAGGGGAATGCCGACACGTCATGCGCCCCTAGTGAATTATTAACATCTCGAACTATGCCCGCGGATCAATTAATTAGTCCAACCGAGGTAAGAACATGTTTTTGAAATTCTACAAAAAGGTCCGTTGCAAAAATGCAAAAATTCTGGTGAGTGATAAAACGCGCGCCTGCCACAGGTGAACTGCGATTATTGCATCCTTCGTACTCTGCCAATTCGATATTAATCTAATTAGAAAGTTACTGATCTAAACGCGACCTAATCAGGTTCGACTGTTTTTTCTTGGCGCAATCGAGATTTGAGCCAGCAGACGGTTGGCGTGAAACTTGATTTGAGCACTTATTAATCTAATTAGAAGATTTATTAATCTAGCTAGACAATTTATTAATCTAATTAGGTGTCATATCAATCTTATTAGGCCGCCGTATAACTCGAGTAGACTACGATTAGATTAATAACGAAATGCCAGAGTATTCGATAATTCAATCGCGGGATAATTATCCGTTGATATTATGGGGTTATTCAGGCTGTGAAAAAAATGATTGTTTTCCGATTTTTTCGTTTTTTTTACGTCAAAAAATCCAATTCAGCGATGTAAAAAAACGAAAAAAACGGAAAACAAACATACGCTGAATAGCCCCATTAATTGGCCAATCATACGTCAATCGCGAGCAATATCACTAACAACTGATAAACCCGCTAGCGGTTGGTCAATCCGCGACTGTCCGGCTCGCGGGGTGATGTATCATTCGTCTATCATTGGTGAGGACCATATAATTAATCAACGTTCACCTGTGTGCAGGTTCGACCCCCACTCGGTTTTGTCCGGTTCGTCTTTCTTTCGAAAATCTGCTGCGCTGAACGGACATCCAAAAAGACAGACAGACAGGCGTCTCTTGTGTTTTAGATAAAAGTACGGCGACCAAAAACGTAGAAAGGGGCGTGGCCTAGCGTGCACGGTTTATCACCATTTTGGCGCGAAATTCAAAATTTAACCCCATTTTTCATGTTTTTCGTCAAAAATTACCCAAATTTTGTACGGGTTTCGACGATGTAATTGCATAACTTTCTTAAACTAATCATCGCGCACTTTTTGAGCTTAAAACTAGCAGGTTTCATTCAGAAATTCATTCAATTGAATCGACTTTAAGCTTTGTGCTCAAAATGCGCGAATTTCAGTCATTCGCCGATACTTTTTGCCGTTTGAACGCTTAAAATACTTGTATTAACGTGCTTAATCACTTCCGACACTCACTTCGTCTCAAAATTATCCAGATCGGCCGGTATGAAAATTTCGAAATTGCGGCGGCGATTGGTCGCGGAGAGCGTATTGCGAAATATGCTAAAAACGTCTCAAACGCGGCGTTTTCACGAAAATTTCGATGTTTTCTCTCTTTAATGTCTTCTTTCGTCGATATCAAACACAAAAATATCGGAAAAGTGCTGGAATTGCGGCAATTTTAAGAAAACGCGTCTCAGATTAGGCCACGCCCCTTTCTACACTTTTGGTCGCCGTGAAAAGAAAAATTATTAGAAGCTGCTAATCAGAATACCAGAACCCCATGACGGGGTTCCGAAGACGACGCGAAATGGCAGCAAGCCAACTCAGTACACCTCTGCAACTTCTGAGCAAACGTTCAGCGTCATCAACTTTTCAACAACACTTCTGCAGCTTTTGAACAACACTTCTGCAACTTTTAAGCAAATGTTCTGGCGATAGAAACTTCTGCGCAGAACTTCAGCAACTTTTGCACATAACATTAGCCGCGCTTGAGCAGAAGTTAGGTAAAAGTTGCTGAAGTTCTGCTGAGAAGTTGCAGAGGTTTACCGAATTCAAATATTGCCCCCATGTGGGAATTACGTAGCTGAGTAGGGACGCCACCGTATTTCCATTTAAAATTTAAACGCGCGCGCGCGTCTCATCCTCGTTGTCTTCAGAACCCCGTGAAATAGTTTTCAAGAAAAAAAAACGAAAACTTTTGGGTCGGCACGTACTTTCTGCCAGTGTGCGCTCCCCGGCGCCGACAATCAAGGGAAAACCCCGGGAAACAAGTGACGGGCGTGCACACTGCTTTCTGCACCTTCATACTATGACAGGTCTTTCAATCAGTTATTAGCCTGGCAAAGGTGGAAATCCCGCTCCGCTAGACTGGGGCCTCGGCCGCTGTGCAAAACTTTGGCCCTGTCAGCAGTTTCGCATGTTGTTTTTCAATTGGCTGAAGCGTAAAACCTTGGCCCCTGGCCAAGTCTCTCTCCGATGCAACTAACTGATAGAGATACAAACTTTTTACAGAATGGCGAAAACGAGGAAGCTAGAATTCAAAGAATGCGTATGGAAGTAAGTGGAGTATAAAATGTGCAGCTAGTATCATAAAGAGCATTTCGAAATGGAACTACCCCGCAATGGAGCTGTGCCCGGAATGGAGCTGACCGGAATGGAGAGAATATTCTGTGGGAGTTCCATTTCGGTACAGTTTCATTCCGGTCAGTAGTGAAATTTCCTATAATACGCTCCGTGCGACACCCGATGTCGAAAAAGGCTTCGCACACTTCAGCGAATGTATAATAGCTCAGCGAAATGCATAATAGTTTACTTCAGCGAATGCATAATAGTTTACTTCAGCGAATGCATAATAGTTTAAAGTGATAATGGATTTACTTATCGAAAAAAGAAACTGCTAATATCCGGACTTCATGTGTTTATATCGTCATACGGAATTGCCGAAAAATTGAAATTTTATTTGTTGTCCCTCTGAGTTGTAATATCAGTAGTCCCGCAAAAATTTATTTTTTAGGCAAAGCGTGCCAGGGAGCGTGAAGATGAAAATTCGGTTTCAATGGTGACCCAGATGGAAATGATGACGGCATTTGAATTTAATAACCTCTACTAAAATTGTTTTTTTCCTCTGTAAGTGCTTTAAAACTTGGTCAACTCAAGTAGTCCCATTTTCCACAACCAACGTGAATAATATTACTTTCGGTTTTCACCATGCTGATCTTCAAACGTACTTGTTTCGACGCCGTACACAAACGGAATGAATTATTGTCAATTTTTACGAGTAAATTTTATTCAAAAAAAACGTTGCATTCTTGCTGCCCATGTAACAGCTTCCACAATGTGAATACACATATTCATAGAGAATCATTATCCACGAAACCCTCTTACTATTAGTTCATGTCAAATTTAACGGAGCATACGGCACGACGAACATTTGTGGACATCATGCTCCTGCCTGTTTTGAAAAAAACCGTATCCTTTCAGCACGCAAGTGAGTCGATATGCGGCGACGAAATACAGGCGAAAAATTCAAACCATATTTAGGGGGCGCAACAAAGGGGGCGTGGCCTGCCGAATTTTCTCCCCGGTCGCTCCCGCGCATGTTTGAGGGCCTGTACCGAGGTCCCCAAACCAAGTACCATATTCAAAATGTTTTACTTTATGTAATCGATGAAAACGCACAGTTTTCTCAAAAAAAAGGCGAAAACGAAAATGGAAGTTAGTCTGAGAGCCACTGTGGCCGGAGTTTGTGCAACACGCGGCTTCTGAGAAGTGATTCTGACAGTTTAAGGGATGGGGAATCCGTTTTTGAAATAAAATTCGAATTTCGTTCCGGCAAACATTGTTCTTCAGTCCGTCAACCCAAATATAAAATTTCAGAGCTCTAGACCCCCTAGGAGAAATTTTGTGTTCGATTGAGTAGATCCCATTCGGCTGAATTTCTTGTTTTTCGATAATTTGAAGGTCGGAAACAGCCAACACGCGACTTTTCTCCACGGAATCGGATTCAGCGTGAAATTCTCTACGGTCCATATTCACAAATGTTCGTCGTGTACGGTATATTCTGACGCATTTCTCGATTTTTGACCTAAAAATGTTTCTTCGCAACATTTGGAAGGAGAATATATACCATTTGGGCCACCAAAGGGGCAAGGGCGGTAAATTAGTTGAACATCAAACTAATCTCCCATTTTGGTCTGTTTCAGAACAGTTATTATAGGAGCATCTTACAGAAATGGCGCTCTGTTCGCAATCTGACCGAATTTCTTGGACACGAACAGGGCTGGGCAATTGACCGACCAGCCTACGTGGCCTAACTTTTCAAACTCGGCCACAAGGTCACTCAATTCGCACTGCAAAAAGAGTTTCTCAACAGAGCGCCATTTCTGTGAGGTGCCCCTATAATATAAAGTCTCCAAGGATTATCTAGCTCGTAAGATAGATTTTTATCCCATTTTTAGTAATGTTTTCCTTTTTACGAAAATACGATCACAAGTTTGTCAATATTGTTTTTTTTTTATATTGTGTGAAATTCTGTCTAGTCTTCGCTTTAGTTTAATTTTGTAGTGGGGTAAGGTTTTTAAAGCGACATACAACTTCACATGTGTGGTCGAAGTTTTGCACAACCCGAAGTTTTTTACGTGCTCCATAGAAGGAATTCTAGATGGATGACATGTTGAACAGCGTCAATGACAGAATGGAAGTTCTTATGGAAACCATCAGACTGAGGCAGACAAGCATCACTGAGCGAACGGAGGAATCAGTGAGACTCGGGGTAGAGCAAATGGACAATGGATTCAAAGTAATTTTTTCTAAATGGGAATAAGCCAGTGTGCGCACCCAGGACAAAATTCTCTTCTGAGAATCCTAAGAGTAATCCTAGAGAGCAGGTGTACCATTGGCCTCGGGATAATATTCCCGAAAAAAAAACCGGAATACCAAAGCAAAGTTCACACACTGGAAAAGACTATGTTTTTCAGAGAATTAAAGAAATCATGACAATGATTCTAGAGACGGGCCTTCGTCTCCCTGGTTTGCTTTTGCTCGAACTCCTTTGGAGATATCAGGGGTTATCATTTGATGACATCCCTGATAATATGATGAACAGAGCTCCACTCTCATATTTTGATATTCCCACAATGCTGGATTTCGTTCATCGGCGCGATTTTGATCATTATGCAGCTGTTATTCTAAGTTATTTTGGTAAGGAGCACCAGTCGTCAAAAATATATTTCAAAGCTCCTATTCCAGTTATATTCATCAGCTTAATGTTTCTAACTCTTCCGTTGAAGCGTTTGCTTCGTATGTATGCACATTTCTTGTCTCTCGTATTGTTTGGTGTGGCGTACAAGCTTTCAGCAATTTATATTAACCTTGAAATAAAAAGTGAAGAAGAAGAGCTGAAACTAGATGCACTGATAAAACTTGAAAGGCACGGATTCCATTTTTTGTCACAGGTGAGTGCCTGGTTATCATTCTCTCATAGCATCATCCTAATTTAATAAAAAGCTAATGGGGCTATTCAGTGCTCGTGAATGGTCTACATACTATTTCGTTGAGAACATTCAAGAAGAGTTGGTGAAAGCCCGCCCTGAGAAGCAGACTGAGCACCTATTTCCAAGCTTAGGGGCTTTTCTTGAATTTTCCCGCTTTTTATTAAATAAGAATGATGACTCAGGTAAATCGTTTGTTATCTAACTAGCTAATTCGCGTTTCTAACCAGACCTAATTAGATTGCTAACTTACTGCGATTAGATTGCACATTCTTCTAACTGGACTGATAAATTTTCTAATTAGATTGGCGAAGCTAATAAGATTGCAAAAACACTGATATTAGATTCAAAAATTATCTAATTAGATTAAAATTTCGGGCAAACCTAGCTAGATTATGTTTAGATTGCAAAATCAGCTAGCTAGTTTCAGAAATCGGTAGCATCCTAACTAGGTCCGGTTAGAAACGAGAATTAGCTAGTTAGATTAGAAACGATTTGCCTGAGGATTATAATTTCGAGAGAATTTTGTCGTTAAATAATTTTCTGCAGGGCTGGGCAATTGGCCGGCACGGGTTTTCGTTGGCCGGCCTTTGACCTGGACTTTTGAACCACTTGCAATATTCCGATCGGACCCAAACTTTGCAGGATTGTTGGACTTGGATTGAGGGCCATTAGGACCAAGTTTCAGCCCGATTGGATCGTCGGGTCCCGAGATATGTGGATCACTGGCCGAAATTGGCCGGAAGCCCGGGCTTTGGAAAAATTCGGCCAATGATCCACATATCTCGGGACCCGACGATTGGGGGGCTGAAGCTTGGTCCCAATGGCCCTCAATCCAAGTCCAACAATCCTGCAAAGTTTGGGTCTGATCGGAATATTGCAAGTGGTTCAATAGTCCAAGGGCCGGCCAACGTAAAGCCCGTGCCGGCCAATTGCCCAGCCCTGATTTTCTGTCAGATGCTTCTAGCTGTGCTACAATCCCTTGTACTCGAAATGGACACGGACCCTTGGCGTATTGCTCTCCCAATTTTTGCTCTTCCCATTGTAACGAGAATGTGCGGATGTCCGCGTGATAAGCTAAAAAATGGTATTCACGCTGACATATAATTCTTATTATTCACTTACATGATGCTTCAGCGCATAACTATGCCTGTACCGGAATAATGATATTTATTGCAACTTATATCCTGAATAGAGCTCCAGCTATTATCAAATCGATGAAGACTGCTCTAAGACAGATGAGGGCGTTATTTTTTGTTCGTGGATTAGCTGATGGTAGTACTCTATAACTCAAAAATTTTAACTAATTGCAATTACAGGTGCAATCGTAGTGTGGCGAAAATTGCGTATTGTCGAGCTCATGGCTTTCACTTGGATCACAATGTTTCTCATGGTTCTCTATGTAGAGCTTATTGACAAAGTGAACAGAACATTTCAAAGCATGATTTACTTTTTAAAAAATTAAGGGGAGAACATGGAGTGAAGTAGGACGTGTTCTTTTATCTGGTGTCGCCGAAACTACAAACACTCCTCTAACACTTCTCGCACTAGCCATTTCAGTGTCTTATGTTTGCAAGTGGATAGCTGATATTACTAAGATGATTACGGGAGGAACAAGAAGCCATGGACATGTTTTGGCTCACTCGGGGTAATACCTTGTCCGGCGTACGGCTACCAGAAGTGAAAAAAAGGGAGTGCATGTTTAACTATTCACAGTTACCAACGGGATCTACCGTAATCCATATATCGCCTGTAACTTAGGCTGTCAGTGAGCGTGGCCTAAAAGAACTCTTCTTCAAGTTTCTTCTTATGGGCAGTGTTTTCTCTGACTATAATATGGGCTAATTCAGAGGAACTTTTTTCTTTGTGCCGCCTGTGTTGTCACTAGTCGATTATGCGGGAGAACGCGCCTTGAGTGTTCGTTTTTCGACGCAGTTCTTTTCACGAAAATAACAAATAGTGATCTGCTTAGGTCACTTTTTTTCTACTTCTGGTCGCCTTGATAGCATTTTAAATATATAATGTGAAAATTACAGATATACTGAAGCATTCTCAGTTTTCATTTTATGTATTCAAACAGGGTATCTTGGAATGCAAGTTGCACAAAAAACAATCCTACTAGGGCTTGTACTTTACATTGTCATATCAGCTCTTCTTCAATCTCTATCTGAGATAATTGAGATAGTACTTCTAAATCTACCATCGTCTCCAACCGCATCTCGCGGACGGCACATCAGATGCCTTTTAATTGCGACAATCCTTATTTTCATACCTATAATAACAACAATCACAATGCTCGAATTACTTCCAGTGGATATTTGGACTGCTATTATAATTGCTAACAACGTGACTGTCTCAGCACATGCGATTGGACTAATTTTCAAGTACACAGTGCTCGAGGTGGAAGTGAGAATCTTTTCAAAGTTTGAGAGCGGAAATGTGAGACGCGAGAATATCTGAAGGACTACATTTCTCTAATATTTGTCTTATTTTTCGAGAACATTTTTCACTTGCAGTGCGCGCGGTAGACCGCGATTGCCAAACGTTCGGGGTAGCAGTGGAAAATGCATTTTTTCAGACAAAATCAGAAGAGCCGTGGGAGCGCAGTGACGATTTTGTT